GAGGACCGCTTGTGAAGGTTGGTCCTCTCCTTTTATGTGTGTCCTGATAATTGAACTTAGGTCTTCAGGCTTGGTGGCAAGTGCCTCTACTCACAGGGCCATCTTGCTGACCCAGGAGGAATAGGCATTTTAACCAGCATTGTAGAAGATTCTGATAGAGACTGATTGATTACATTTTCAGTAACAATGTTTTAATTGGGATACAGGGGTAAGATCAGAAACTAAAAAAAAAGTTCATTTTCAATTTCTCTATTATTTTCTGATGAATTGATGTTTGTCAAGCACTTTTGGGGGGAGACATTATAAAAGTTTTCTTTTATAATCAATTTATTGTTGTATGTATAGTTATGACAGCGTTATGCAGTAAGGTAGCTATAGTTTGCTAGCATTTTGTTTAATAACAAAATAAAAAACACAGGAGGAAAGCCTTTGAAGTATGGAGTAGGTAAATTTAATTTTTCTTTCTTTCATTCTTTTTGTTTTGTTTTGTTTTTTAGAGACAGGGTTTCTCTGTGTAGCATTGGCTGTCCTGGAGCTCCCTCTGTAACCAGGCTAGCCTCAAATTTTCAGAGATTTTCCTGAGTCTGATTCCTGTGTGCTGGGATTAAAAGTGTGTGCCAGAAACAGCTGACTTGAACAAGGGGAACTCATGGACCCCAGACTGAAAGCGAGCAGCATAGGACCAACCCAGACCCCCTGAGTGTGAGTGTCATTTGGGAGGCTAATCTATGGGGCTCTGGCAGTGGATCAGTATCTCTTGTATATGAGTGGACTTTGGGAGCCTACACCACACAGAGGGACACTCACTCAGCCTAGACACACGGACGGGGGGTGGGTACCTAGGTCCTGTTCCAAATGATATGACAAACTTTGAAGATCCCCCATGGAAGGCCTTACCCTCCCTGGGGGTCAGAAAGGGGATGGCATAAAGGGCTGGTGGGGGACAGGGGAGGATGGGAGGAAGAAGGAACTGGGATTGACACATAAAACAAGCTTGTTTCTAATTAAAAAAAAAAGTGTGTGCCACCAATGCTGGCTTCTTCCTTTTAATTTTCCTCCCTCCCTTCCTCCTTCCCTCCTTCCTTCCCTCCCTCCCTCCCTCCCTCCCTCCCTCCCTCCCTCCCTCCCTCTCTCCCTCCCTCCCTCCCTCCCTCCCTCCCTCCCTCGTTCCCAGATAAGATCTCACTACATAATACTGGCTGGTCTGGAGCTATGTGTAGACCAGGATGGTTTAAACTCACATTAATCTGCTTGCATCTGTTGTCTGACTACTGGGATTGAAGAGGTGCACCATCATGCCTAGCTAATTTTTCCATTTTAACTGGCCCTATGGCATGAATAATACCATAGTCTTCTTTATCCAGCCAACATATACTATTGTATATCAATAAAAATAGCCCATATATAGAATCTACCATGAAATCATGAGTAATATAATGGGCTGATATATTTGTTTTATTCTCTGCATTCCTAGTCTATTTTCAGTGTGGCATTAACATGAAAATTTTTATGTTTAACTAAAATTTTCCACCTAGTTTGAGTATTATATGTCTGTAACTCTCTGAAGGGAAAGTTATTTCTTTGTAATGTTATTACTTAGAGAGACAGAGACACATTTCCATAAGTGTGAAGGAGAAGCAGAAGCCAGAAGAGTGTGTTGGACTCTTGGAATTGGAGTTCCAGGAGCTGTGAGCCTCTGGGTGTGGTACAAGAATGGAAGAGAAGTTCTCTGGAGGAGCAGCCCATCCTCAGTCACTGCGCTGCCTGCCTCCAGCCCTTCCTTTGGTCTTTGACTAGCAGGGTCTCCTTACTTTCCTGTCTTGTGATGGTACCTAGATGCCATTTTTCCATGTAGCACTGGCTACAAGTTAGCTCATGTTTCATTTCGTTAACTCATCCGCATGTCTCCAAAGGGTCCACATTCAAGGACACATGCAAGTGCTTGTCTCTGAACTGTAAAGAAAATGCTTTCCAAAAATTTGGTTTGTTTACTTACTTCACATTTAATTAAGAAAAGAAGAAAAGTTGTTCTATTCAGAAAAACTATTTGCTTCTGACACCAAGTCAGGAAATAGACCTTCTTGCATTTTTCCCAGGTGTTCTTAAAATATAGCTCGAAGCTATTTTATTCTATACAAAGGTTTAATTATTTTATCCTTTATCAGTATTTATTAATATTGCTGTATTTAAATAAAATCTTAATTTAAAATGTTGTCTTTATGAGTCAGAAGTGGTGACACATGCCTTTAATCCAGCACTTAGAATGCAGAGGCAGATGGACATCTGTGAGTTTGAGGCCAGCTTGGTCTTCAGAGTGAGTCCCAGGACAGCCAGAGTCACATAGTGAGATCCTACCTAAAACAAAAAACAAAAAACCCCAAAAAAACAAAAAAACAAACAACAACAAAAACTATGCAGCATTATATATATATATATATATATATATATATATATATATATATAATATGAGTTGGATCTATGTTCACTATGAATTATTGGGATGCAAAAGCAAAGGATGATGATGATATTTTTATTTTCTGTTACATGTTGGTATGTTGTCCTGTGGTTTTGTTTTTGTTTTTCTGAAAAAGGGTTTCATGTAGCTCAGCTGGGCTCAAGGGTGGAGCTTCTTGAGCTTCTGATCCTCCTAGCCAGGCTGGTGCCATTGCTTTTATGTAGGGCAGGAACTCAGGTTTTTATAAAGAATAGACAAGCCCTTTACTTCCTCGTAAATGAAACTACTCAAAAAGATGCTTTAGTGAAGTAAGGCAGATAATTTAGAAAGGTCAATCTTAAAATTCAGGTTAGATGCTGGGTATGGTGGTTCATGCCTTTAATCCCAGTACTTGGAAGGCAAAAACAGATATGTCTCTGAGTTTGAGACCATTCAGGTTGGCACAGTTAGTTCCAGTCCAGCCGGGGTTATGGAAACTGTCTCCAACCCCCCCCCCCAAAAGAAAATCCTATCAGTCTAGATATTCTCTGGTATTAAAAATGTTCATGAAGAATATTCATTTTACTTTATTGAATTTTCTTCCTCCAGATTTTTATAATTTTGCCCTTGTTACCTGTGCACTTTGAACAGTGTATAATTAAATAGCTCCATGGGGGAGGGTAATCTGTTTTTTCATGGATCCTCGTGTGGCCATGTTTAATCCTTCACTTTCTCACACCAGTTTTCTTTTAGTTGGCAAAGCCTATGTATTGTGGCTGCCACTGCCTGTCCCGGCTGCTTAGTCTTTGCTGGGCTCTTGCCTTCATTTTGGCCAGACTCTAGATGGCGGCAACAGTCTCCTGTCCTTTGAGCTGTCCTCTGGCCTGTCACACTCTTACTGTGCTGGTGATATCAGAGGCTTGCCCTTGTTACCCCTGCTCACGTGTCTCTGCTGGTGCTTCAGACCTCATCTAATGGTCTTAGTGTAACTTCCCTAACAGCTCCCCCCCCATTCCCTTCCAAACAGCATTTTTCTTTTTTTCTGGAATATGTTGGAGTAGATTTCCTCAGTGTCATTTTTGCTATGCTATTTTTAAAGTCAATATAATTGTTTTTTCTTTTAGTCTCTCTTTTATGCAGCTGCCTTCTCCATCAGATATCTTTTCACTTTTAAGATATCTCATCTGGAAATCCAAAATATTCTGAAATCTGAAACTTTCTGGATAGGACATGGGAGGAACATTCTACACTTGACCTAATATGATGCAGGTACATTAAAAATCTGGCATAAAATTACCTTTAGGTTATGTGTATATGAAATAGATGAAACTCTTAACTAGAATTGGATCCATCTGCAAATTATGTCATTAATTATATACAGGTATCCCGAAATGCCTACAGCGATCTGAAACTCCATCCCAGGCATCTCTGATAAGCAGTGCTTGGTGTATACCTTGATTATGGGTTTTTATACTCCTGTGAGTCATGGCTCTTTGTGTAATTCATCATTTTTTCCATAATGCCCATGGAGTGTGAAAATTCACAGGCCAGCTGAATTACAAATTATGTAACCACAAAACACAATAAAATTAAAGATGTTGTTGACCTTGAAATAAAACCTCAAAATTATGTGTGAAATAAAATCCTACTTATGGTTCTCTTAGTTTCAAATTATTTTTACTCGAGCTGATTAAAAAATATTTTTTATTTAGAGTGTGTGTACACACATGCACACAGACCAAGCTATGTGTGGAGGTGAGGGACAGTTTGTGTAGCCACTTCTCTCCTGTGCCTTTATGTGGGCCCAAGGGTCAAGTCAGGGTTGCCCAGCCCGTGTGGCTGTGCTTTCCCCCAGCACCTGACTGGCTGGAGAAGTCAGGGCTTTGAACTTGGAGAACGGATGCCTTGCTTTCTTGTTTTCTGTTGTTGGAGATGAAAAACTTGATTACTTACATGACTATGACTGACATTGTTGTCAAGTATAGAATAGTTAAAAAACAGAATTATAAAGAATTTAATCTTTATAAGTTTGAATATCTTTGATAGAGTAATAAATTCTCTAATTGTCAAACAAAACAAGAGAGACAATACAAATTTCTGAACTTTATGGACCTTATGCTTGGAGTAGTTGACTCAACTACAGAAGGAAGCATCTATGCCTGGAAGCATAAATTGAAATCACAGGGGCATAAAAGTCGAATTGTAAGAAGTTGCCCCTCCCAAATTCACTCCTGCCTCTATTGCATTTGCAAAACGAGTTTTCATTATAAAAGGAAAGTTAGCAAGAATGCTTTTTTTTTTTTTGTAAAATCACTAGTGAAAAAGTGAGAAATTTTCACATTGAAGCAAAAGATATTCTGAGGAAAACAATGCTCTTTTATCAGGAGAGCAACAGTTACGGATGTTTGTGCTTTTTTTTAAAAAAAACAGTTTTTCACACACTATATATTTAACACACTAAAAGCTACTTGAGGGTTATGGTGAAGTATGGGAAGTGTAGATTTTTGTTTGCTATAAATCAGTATGTGTACTTTTGTATCCTGAAAGAATTCATTACACTAGGGCAAAATGCTTAATTGTTTACTCTGATGTCCAATGCACAAATAGCAGCTTACAGGGCAAAGTCATAATGTTTGCTATTTTTTTTTCTTAGAATAGAAGACCAGAATGCATGAAAACTATTAGGCCAACATGGCAGAAACTTACTTTTATACTAAATTCTTTAGAATGATTATTAAACCTCATGATTAAAAGTACTGAAAACATAGTGGAGGTATTTTCTAACATGAACTCTAAAAGTAGTCTAGCTTTTAAAATTAAGATTACAAATCTAGGTGTTTATGCCTAGAAGTACAAAATGCATTAAAAGTTTTAGTTAAAGAGTTAGGAGGTATTGTAGGCCAAATAATGAGTGAAAATTTCTTAATCCCATGAAGTCTTAATTTTAGAGTCTCAAAAATTAATTTTACTTTATTATGCCACATTTTTGTCAAACTGTAGCACTTATTTAATTCATAAAACAGGAGGAAAGTGGGCCTTTGCCAAGTTTTGACGTGCTAGCATTATTATCAGAAATAAATCAATTTAATTTGCTAGAAACCTTAGTGACTTCAAGCTTCTGTATCACCCTCATTTCCCTAGGGATTAGGTTTGTCAGTAAAGTTGATTGAATGAATCTCATTAATTTGTATAAAAGTAATAGCTATTGAGTTGTTTAACATGAGTTTTTAAATTTAAAGATGATGTTACTTAATTTAATGAATATATAGTATTTAAACTATAGAATAATTTCTGTTAAGCTAACCAGTTGTATTATATATAACAGGTACTAACCTATTTTAAATAAGTTGTTGTTAAGTTTTTGTTTTTACTACACATTGCCAAATTATAACGAGTGAGAAATTCTTTTTGCTATGAAAGTATTCATCATCCTTACAATCTATAATTATAAGTAGTAATCGTTTTCTAATGTGAGTTGAGGGTTTGAGAGGAAACTGCTCCAGGTACAAGGTGGTGGAATGGAGATGCGACAGTTTGTTGTTGGTTTATCACCTGGAGAGTGGAGACCGAGCTGCTGTTGACGCTGGGAGGATCCCTGTATACATTCTACTGCACACACGCTGCTGTGAATCTAAAATTAGAAACAGCTGCCTTTGTTAGGCTTCTCCTCTTCCCTCCGCTCAGCCTTCCTATTTATGTGGTTAACTTCTCTTATACAAAATGGTAGAGTTGTTATTAAACTAAAAATTGAAATCAATTTATTGCAGTTTTTAAAAACCAGCGCTTTCTTTTAACCTAGACAATCAGGCAAATGAGGGAGAGGGACGAGGCTGGTGTTCACACAGCGTCTTCCCTCCCTTTGTTGTGAGTCATTTGTATTACAGGCATATTACTCTTTTTTATATAATAAGCTTGAATTTTAAAGGTTTCCCTAATCTTGTGTGCATATACAAGGTTTATTTTTTCACTGATTCATGGTTTTAAAATACTGATACAGCCTATGTTTTCCCACATAAGGGTTATGTATAAGAAAGAATAAGGTTTATATATATATTTCATTATTCTGTTGTTAAAATATTATAACAAGTTCATCATACCAGAAATATAGCATAGTGGTACAGAAAACCTTGTTTTGTTTTGAGACTACAATTTTTTTGTGTTAAATATTTATGCAACTTCTCATATAAATATATCTAGTTCATGGCTTAGAAATAATAGGCTTCATACATTGTTTTTAAAAAATGTAGATACCCGTGTCAGTTACATTTTAAAGTTATACACTGTTTTAAGGCTATGTATTTATTCTTTAGAAAATATGACTTACATGAGTATATTCTGATGGACATAATATTGACAAATTATACAATGGTATTACTTTTAACAAACTGCCATGCAACAAATACATTAAATAATGTAGAAATTGAGTATATATGACCTAATCTAATTGACATTCACATTGAAAATCTACAACATAACCAATACTGAGAATGTTTCTCTCTTACATTTGGCAGTAATCAGTTTCTACAATTTAAATTTAAAACTCTTCTGAAAGTAAATTTGGTGAAACTTAGACTTCTCCCTAGTCTGTGACAACCTGAGGTACTAAACATTTCTCTCTTACTTCACTGTCTTCATAGGGTACTTTTTTGTTTCTTTTAGGATCTATCCATGAGTTGTGTATTACAGCATTATTAGGCATGGGGTCAGCTTCAACTATGGAAACAACACGTTTTTTCATTTTGCTTTTTAAGACCTTTTGAAACTTTTGTCTGGTGAATGCATACAGGAGAGGGTGGAATATAGTTGTTCCATAAGCCATGACTAGAAAGCACAATCTTAATTTTACTAAAAGGTCACTTGGGCCCAAACATAAAATGGTGGTGTTTAGAACAGAAATTGGTGTCCAACAGAGAAGAAATGTAGAAATAATCAATAAGGACATCCTGAAGACTCTCTTCTGCCTTTCTCGCCGTTCCCGGTGACGTTTCACAGCGCGCCGGAGGGCAATTATTACCGACACCGAAGTTCGCACACCGAAGACTACATTTCTCCCACCACTGCTCTGTGGCATGTCTGTTGCCTCATGTGTGGTTAGAGAGATCGTCTTTTTCTTCCTAGCTTTTTTCTTCTGCCCCGTTGAGAATCTGGTACCTATCCGGATGTTAAGAGCCTGAAGTATCTTGGTGTATGTGATCAACATCACTATAACCGTGAAGAAGAAGATGGGGATTTGAACTAGGAGGTGGTAATACACCCCCAGCTCAGTGTAGTACTCACTTGTACTAACACACAGCAGTGTCTTATTTTCCCATGTATTTCCACTTTGAAGACTGAAAAAATTTACTTCAATGAAGGGAATCAGGAAGGAGAAGAAAGAAAAAATCCAAATGGATGTCATTAGCATTACAGCTCTACCCATTGTCAGAATTCTGTTTGCAGGTTTTACAGAGATGTCATATCTGTCCAGAGTAATAGCAAAAACGTTGATTGCTGTGGAAACACTTGCAAAGGAAACACAAGCTTCATGGAAACAGCAGATGAGAGCGGTGTTACTCTCCAGTGAGAGCAGAAGAATCACTATAGTTAGAGGGATACATCCCACACAAATTAATACATCAAGTACGTGGAGGTTCATTGTAATAATGTTACTGACAGAGTTGATTAAGTTGGATTTCATGCAGTAAAGTACCAATACAGTAAGGTTGCTGCCAAGTCCCAGCACAATTTCTAACATGAGAAATCCAGTGAGAGATACTTGAAAGCTTAATGGATATGATAGTGCTTGGTACATATTGGTGTCGATGTCATCAATGTCATCTCGTACTGTAATGTTTGATTCAGACTGCATGTTGATTTCCAGAGCAGGAGAAAAACACATTCTTTTGGAGCAGTTGGTATTTCCCCTAGAAAATGAAATAGAATATTTGATATTTGGCAGTTTAAGTGGCATATAGAACATGGTATTCTTTGTAAACAACAAAATATCTTTTTATCATGTACTTAGTTTAATTTTTTATTTTGTAAACTATTGATGCAAAATGTAGAATTGGGAAACATCAAGGCTGCATTGGTTTGGTGTTAAGACAAATTCTTTAGAGAGATAACCATGTGGGGATTTTTTTCCCCGGTAGTGCAGAATTCCTATCCACACTACATGGGTTTACTTCATTGGAAATACTGAGGTGTTTACTTGTAGAGAAAGTATGCTTCTGAGTAAGAAGACTACTTAGTATGCAAAACTAATTTTGGTCCATTGATTTAAGATTTCATTTAAACAATGTTGTGAGTGGATAGAAGGTAAATGCTACTTTAATATGCTCTTGCATGATTAGTGTAGGTGTAATTATTCCTGTGAGATTTCGGATGAAAGGGACAAGTGTTCATTTGAAAGGATAATGATACACAGCTATAATCCATCTCTATTACACCACTATCTTACCACCTCTGTCTGAGACGTCAGCAATGTGGACATTGAAGTTATTTCCCAAGAAAGATGCAAATAATGCAGATTTTGTGTATTATGTCAATATGCCCACTACTTTTTTTTTTTTTACAATAGACTTACAAAGATTTGGGAAAAAGAAAGACAGTATGTTAAACTCAGTAAAACGTATTCCTACAGCTGATGTATTTTGTGACCACACCCTCATGTTTGCTCTAGAAAGAGGAAATTAAAATTTGATATGTACCAAGAAGCAGATGCATAGTGAGAAACCCTGTCTCAAAAAACCAGAAAAAAGAGAGAAAAATCAGATGCTTTTGAAGTGTGGTTTTATTAATGTATCCAGTTATTTCGTTTAATTTGTGAGGTAAAAATGAAATTCAAAAGAATGTTCTGTTGTCCATTTTCAATAAAACTTCCAACTTTCACGTTACCTGTGAGACATTTGGTTCACATCAGCCAGTGAGTCATTTTGAAGAAAAATTCTAAAATGAACATTTTGGCTAATTCATGCAAATAAGTGTTTTAGGACTTTAGAGCCATTTATAAAAATGATATCTTATTTTTTCTGGGCTGAAATGTCTACAGTGAGCAGCTTAAAATTAAAATTCAGCTTAAAATATGAATTTATATATTCAAGTATATCTCACATTTCAGGTATAGCATTTGAACTGCAAAATATTCCATCCTGAAGTATTAAAATTAATGGCTTTCAAAATTCATAATGACATTTCAATTGATGTTACCTTTGACAGCTCTATACATGTTATTTTAGGGTACTATTTAAGAAATACGACGTCATTTCACTTGAGTTGGAATGGGTATTACTAGACACATATTCATATAAAATGGCTTAACTTACTGAGATCCTATAAAAATGTAAAGTTTTAAGAGTGCCAGATTTTCTGAACTGACAGACTGCACCTCAGATCTTTGTTTCGTCACATCACGTTTGTAATTAATAGAGCAGACCTGACGAGTAAGACAGCGACGGGAGAAATCATGCTTATTTTCTGCCACCGGGTGGGGTGCATGCACCTCCCGACCTACCTGTTTGCTGAGGCCTATGGGCCTTTTGGCTCACCATGGCAGCTCTCCACCAACTGATGCATGATGCCATTGACAGTCTTGACATGAATTGTTTTCCTGGCAACACTGAAATGGTTGTGTTTTATTTCTTGCCTTGTAGGAATTCATTCTTTGCTGTTCGAGTACTTAAGCTGTACAGATTGTGAGATTTAGTTGGCTGATAGATTTCCGAAGAATAGCACACAATTTTTGTGTTTTCTTTCCCCCTCAGAAAGTCATGGACAAATGAAATTTCGTCAAATGATAGAAATTGCACTTCTTTTCCGAAGGAATATAAGATTGTATCTCTTTGTTTCCCAGAGTATGTGAAAACAGAGACGGTCTCTACCTTCAGAAGTGCATTTAGGTACCCATTTGTTTGCAGTCTGTTTCTGCAGCAGTTCTCATTATCTTGAAATGATTTCTTGATCTCTTGATCACATAATTTGCTTTATATTATAAATCCAGTACATGCTCTTTTGATAAAAACCATCTGCTATTTAATTTGGTTTGTTCTCATTAGAAGAGGATACATAATTGGTCATAAAGCTCAGATGGAAAACTCTATTAGTCATATCAATTGATATGAATATCTGGATAGTACAGAAGACATTTGCTAAAGCTTCGTTTTGCTTGCTGGTATATCATGCCATTTTCCCTTGTGAAGTTTTTGCTTGACTGCTTCTTGCAGAATCAATAGTGTCCATCATTCTGCTCTGTTAAAGTGTTAGATCTTCCTTTAGAAACACTGGTCTGTTGGTCTTCAGGTTTTTACAGTTGTATTTTTTCTTTTCGTGGTTATTCTGTATAGCATCTTCTCGGGATGCTTTCAGCTTGTTGTGTGCCAGCAGAGCTAATTTGAGGCTTTAACTCCTTAGTTTCTTACAGTCATGCGTTACAATGCTATCTAGCAGTTGGTGGTTCAGACAGCTAGGGAGCTTCTTAGGCAGTTGTGTTCTTCATATCATGAATTTTATATACTGAATTAGTTGTGGGCCCTTGTGAAAAAGGTGAAAATGATTAAGGAATAGGATTCTTAATAATTTTGAATTAATTACAAGTTACTTTAGTTGAGAAATTGAAACCATGTAGCATTATTCTCAAAATAAGCAAAGTGTATTGTTAAAGGCATAGCTATAGTCATAAAATGAAGTATTTTCAAATGAAATTCTTTTCATAATAAAGATGACATATATTACCTTATTTAGCAACAGAGTTAGCATTGAAATATAATCACGAGAAAAACTAAAATTTTAAACTAATTTCTCTCCTCTTTTAGAAGCTAGCTTGAATGTTTAGAGATTATGAACAGTTAGTATTTACTAAACATACTGCCATTACCCCCTGGTAATAAATTTTACATTTCCTGCATGCTGGGAAATATTGCAGCTTTCTTAATTATTAGCACATGTCTTGAACTTTAGCTCATTAAAACAGATTCTGTGATAAGACACTATAAATTTCTTTGGATGAATTGCTCATGTGTGAAATGTAAACGGTAGTATAAAAATCTTAAGTACAAATTAATAATTTCCAGTGAACATGACTGACCTTAATCTTAACAAAAAACAGCTAAATAGTAAACTGGCTTCTTATAAGACATATAAAAATTTTTTTTAAAGCTCTTGAGAAATGGTAGACTAGTGACATTTAAAAATTTGTTATATTCAAAGTTACTTAAGAGCTTTGGAGTACATTATAAAAAAACAGAATAGTTTTTTATTTAATAATGCACCCTAAAAATTACATTTAAAATACATCACATTTTACAAGAAGTAAATTTAAAAATTCCATTTTTTTCCACTAAGTAGAGTAAAAAAAATAAACTTAAAAATTTTGGCTAAAATTCCAAAGTAATTTTACCCCACTTTGCTGTTTCAAAAGCAGCTATCTACTATAATAAGGAACACATCTTACCTCTGCTAACGATTTGACCGATTCCTGATGTAGCTGAAGCATTTCCAGTTTTGATTGTTTCATTTTGTTCATTTGTCAGTAGAGGGCTCAGGGAAGAGGGTCATACAAATCTCTTCACGATGACCTTAATGAGAACGTGTCTGTTCTGTGCCATTGTCTGGGCAGTCCTGCTAACGGATAGAACAGAATGTGTGGTGCTGCTTCAAGGCTGCAGTCTCTCGCGCTTCCTACTGTGGAGTCGATAAGCATTCGAAAATGCGTAATGAAAGTAATTTAGCATACCGAAGGCTTGCTGTCTCCAGAGACAGCCTTTAGATCAGTCTCTCTGAAAAGGCATGGCTGCTTTTCAGAGGGAAGCCTGCTCTGAGCTAGGGAGCAGGCGGGAGGGCCAGCAGCTTTTGCAGAGTGACAGCCTACCTTGTCGCTTCTCTCCTCTGCAGAGAGATGCAGTGCACTCACTAATTTTGATTGGCCAGTTGTACTGGCTTAAAATGCTTCATATGTATGGAAGAGCCCCCCCCCACTCCTTTATGTAAGGGTGTTGTTTTAAAAGGCTAAGTTTTTAAGTGGCTGTTTGTTACTGTTAAATGGAATGTGAGTAATTAGTCTTTTAAAAATGTATTTTGTTCTGGCTCATTGAGTCCCCAATGCCAAACACTAAGAAAATAGGTGTGTGTGTGTGTGTGTGTGTGTGTGTGTGTGTGTGTGTGTGTGTGTGTATGGGGGAGGGGCTTACATAGTAAAAATGTTGTATGTTTAAGTCTGGATAACTGGATTTGACTGTTTTAGTAGTTGTGCGTGCTTTGGCTTGAGGTTCTTTGTTCCATAGATAGAAAGCCCTACCTCTTTACAGTGAGTCAAGTTTGATTTCAGTTAGTTTATTTGTATTCAAGTCATCTCTTTGTATTCCAAATTGTGGCCATCACACAGTATTAAACGTCATCTTGACTTAAATATTCAGTCACTGGGATATTTCATGTTTGTTCCCATTATTAAACACATCGACTTAAGGTGGTTATACTGTAAAGCATTTGTAAATATTCCATTGCTTGCATGGTGGTAGGGCATAAATGAGTAAGTAATTTGTTTCAGTTTTGGGAATGTAATCTCAGCCCTCACCTGTGCTGATATTTTTGATTGTAAGCCTAGCCTTTAACGGCTGAACCATCTCTCCAGCCCCTGTGCTGATATTTCTATGTGTAAATTTGTATTGACCATTGTTGTTAATATTTGATCTCACTGGGATATTTCTATTTTTATAATGGGCATCTTTCTTAAATATAGTATATGGGGATTGCTAATGCTACTGGTAAATTATGTGGTAAAGGAGGTGTGTGTCCTTTTAGATAATAAAGTTAGCTATTTTAAGATGATTGTAAAAAAAGAAAACAAAAGAATGTATAAAATACATTCATTTAAAATTAAATTTCTATGACTTATGGGTACTTTCAAATACATTTCTGTTCTTTTTAGTGATGAAACATACCCTTTTAGATGGGAGTATACGTAGTGACTAGATTCTTTTTAGAATTACGTGTGTGTGTGTGTGTGTGTGTGTGTGTGTGTGTATCTGCCGTGGCGCACATGTCACCCTTTTAGATGGGAGTATACGTAGTGACTAGATTCTTTTTAGAATTACGTGTGTGTGTGTGTGTGTGTGTATCTGCCGTGGCGCACATGTCATAGTCAGAGGATGCCTCCAAGGAATCGGTTTTTCCCTTCCATCACGTGGGTTCTGGGGATGGAATTCAGGTTGTCAGGCTTGGCAGTGAACAATGTTACCCACTGAGCCAAAGAGGAACATATTGCTGATGGCTGCACTATTAGAGTATTAATCATCACCTAGTTTCAATATTTTAGGAATAATCTTGAGCTTTCAAAATGTTGTAGTCTAGATTTTTTAGAACTTGTTATTATAGAAGCTGGGTGTGGTGACACACACCTTTAATCCCAGCCCTCAGGGAGGCAGAGACTGATGGATCTCTGTGAGTTTGAAGCCAGCTGGTAAACAAGTGAATTCTAGGACAGCCAGAGCTGTTACATAGAGAATCCTCCATCCTGAAAAACCAAACTAACCAAACAAACAACTGGGGTAGGTGGGGTGAGTATTTAGCCCAATGATAAGATGACTTATTTACGGCTTTGGGTTTGGTCCTCATTTGTCATTGTAATTATTCTTTTATAAATTTGAAAGGTTATATGCATTTTTATAATCTTTTATGGGCAGTGTTCAAATTTTATTGGGGAGTAGCTGATATGCACATAAGGTTTGAATTGCAATTCTTTAGACATCGAAAGTAATGTGGATTTTTTTTTGTGTGTGTGTGAATTTTGAAAAGTCTTTTCATAGCTTTGGGTCGTAAGGTTTTGGTAATGCTAAAAATGAAAATGTAGTGCTATTTATTATTCATGCATTTTCAAAGTTATGGAAAAAGATCTTGCTACAGTGCCAGATATGTTAAAGACAGATGATAAAAATGTTATTTTAAATTAAAAACTGAAGTCAGAGGGAACATGTTAGCATGAGCTGGGAATTATGATTGGAATATGGAGATTATTAACATAATAGAAATCTATGTAGTGTTCTCTGCCAGAGTTAATTGTTTGCTTAGGTTTATTACTCAAATATCCTGATTAAGTAGAAGAAAGAAAGGCTAGGAGAAATCTATTGACTTGCCAAAGTCAATGTTGTACCCATCTGTTAGAGCCCCGTGAGCCTACTGTTTAAGGTAGTGGGCCTGTCTCCTAGGTATTACAAAAGTATAGCATTTAACACTGGTTGACCTATGCTTACTCTCCAATGCAAGCAACAGTATAGCTTTGTTTTTTGTTGTTGTTGAAGGATATTTCTGTGATTCTCTTCTCTCTTAATGGGATAACTTTTCTAAATTATAGTCAGATTTTTTTAAGAAGTAAGTAATAATTGTAGCAAAAAAAGCTCAAGTATGGACATTTCTGTGCATTCCCTGTATAAATGAGTTGTGATTAAAGATATATGAGAAACCACAAATAGCAGTTTTTAAAATATAATACTTAGCCTCATTTTTTGCATTATTAAAGCCACAAATTTTTTTAGTAATTGTATGTTATTAAATTTTTCACAAGGTAATTTAAAATCATCTAGTTTTAACAAATAAGATGATAACAATATTAGAATTAGATTAAGGGGGCTGGAGAGATGGCTCAGAGGTTAAGAGCACTGGCTGTTCTTCCAGAGACCCTGAGTTCAATACTCAGCAACCCAGATGGTGGCTCACAACCACCTTGAATGAGATCTGGTGCCCTCTTCTGGCCTGCAGGGGCACATGCAGACAGAACTCTGTTTATACATAATAAATAAATAAATCTTAAAAAAAGAATTAAATTAAAAACTGGGTGTGATGGTACATACATTCGGTCCCAGTACTTAGGATGGATATCTGAGTTCAAGGCTAGCCTGATCTACAGAGTGAGTTCCAGGACAGCCAGGGCTACACAGAGAAACTCTTACTGGAGGAAAAAAAACCCAGGTTATATTATTTTTATGAAAAATTGAATATCAAATTACATATTTTAGAATTTATGAAGATTCTTGTTTCCATGGTAACAGGATTTTTTCATACTTGTGCACTTAATACAAGTGTTCATATAAGATACTAATTTTGAAAAATGCTACAGCTGGTGATTTATCTTTTTACAGGAAAATGTTTTCTTTCTTTTTTTTTAACTTTTATTGATTCTTTGTGGATTTTGCATTCAGGTCCCACCTACCTCCATGTCCCCTCAAACCCGCTCTGCCCTTGCATCCCCTCCAAAACAAAATTTAAAAGAAAAAAAACAAAAGACCGAACAAAACAGAGAAGCAAAACAAAAATGAAAACAAAATAGCACCAACAGAAAGAGGAATTTTGTCTTGGTTCTGTAGTCTGATGGATTTCCCCACTCGTCTTCACGGGCAAGAGTCATTGTGGGCACTGCTGGGGCTCCTCTTGGACATCCTAGTGTCCTGTGGCGGGCACTCTAAATTTTATGTTGTACTAATTCTGTGGAAAACTGGGAATACAATTTGGGTTGTTGTATGATATCAGTTGTATGATAACTGAGCAGGATAAGCAAACATCACCTCTAAATAGAGGTCAAAATTGTATTTCAGAAGTTATGTTTTCCTTTTAGTTATATTATTATTGTATATCTTTTAATTCCTAAAAGTTTGTGACTAGTTCTGATATTATATACTTAATGAGTTTGTAAGTAAAAATTCAACTTAGTGAAATATTTTAATTAACCATATCTGAAAGTATTTGGGAAAAAAGTATACATGTAAACATAATTTCTAACCGCAGAAAATCAGTTTTGAAGCTGTACTGTTTCTGAAAGAGTGTTTTTCCAAAGCATAGCATCTCATGTGGCTTCTCAACTGTACTTACACAGCAAATACTTTGTCAGGAAAATAGAAACAGACCATCCTCTGAAACCTCAGTCCAGGAAGGAGTAGCCAGGGCAGTAAGAATACTATGATTCATTATTTCTAAGAACAATTAAAAATTACTGTACATACCTTTTTGTATCTTTCTTCATAATCTTTTCTGTTGCTTTCTGTTCTTTGCATAATTTGCCTACTCTATGATATTATACAGTATCAAATTCATTTCCACCTTGCTGCTAAGTCAGTTCGATCCAGCTGGATTATACATTTAACAAATCTATGCCAAGTTTTGTTTTCTGTGCTGTTTGAAGTCTTATGATCTGCTGAGTGACATAGCTGAATGGTTGCCTCTGATCCAGATGTCTTAATATTGAAGCTATCAGAAAGCTGCCATTCTTGGAGGGTGGGAAATTGTCTTGTAGACTGTCACTTTGGGTCATCAAATAAAGGGATTCATTGTAGACATTTTCCAGGAACCTCGGGAGAGTTACATTTATGAATTTATGTTCAGTTGCTGCTGCTTTCTCATATTTGGTTAGGGATATTACCTTAATAAAGTCCTGCTAGTATTTGGATTGTTGCTACAGAGAATTTGTGGATAAACCTGGGAAAAATTGGCAGGAGTATTGAATCATTAATGTCTTGGGCATAGTGTCTGTGTTATTTTTCATGTGTTCATTTGTGGTTTATTTTATCATTTTGTTTTTTTGGTTCTTTGTTTATATGTCCTGTACATATTTTGTTAGATTTGTACATTATTATTTGATTTTTAATGCTATCAAAGCAATACCTAATGTAAAAAAATCCAACTGCGTGTTGCTAGGGTATATGACAGCAGTCATGTTTTTGTTTATTGATCTTTGTGGTGGTTTAAATGAAATGGCCCCCGTAGGCTCATAGGGGGTGGAGCTGTTAGGAGATGTGGCTTTTTTAGAGGAAGTGGGTCACTGGGGGTGGGCTTGGAGGTTTCAAGTGCTCAAGCCATGTCCAGTATTTCTTTCTGACTTCCTGCTGTCTGCTGGTCCTGA